TTAGTTATTCAATTTTTTCAACAACAAGAAAGACTTTTAAAAGGGAATAGAAGGAAAGGTCAAATACGTCCATCTCAAATGATAATCAAATATGGAAAATGATATAATGCAACGGTTGTATAGTACTATAATGTAACTGCATCTCTCGAAAACTATATTTTTGGCATTTGTATGACCCTAAATTTTGCACACACATTCTCTTCATCCTCATAATCAATCCTATGAAAAAACAAAATCAATTTGCATCCTAGATATGGTCAAAATTAGTGCCCATCCAACAATGAATCTCGACCATCCATTTGGTGAATTTCAAGATCTTGGCCTTAACAAATTCAAAATCACATTTTTATTGTTTAGCATTATTAATCTAATGATGATAATGCTATATCTAGGGTTATAAATAAATCTTTTTGTGCTTATATCTAACCATCTCAATAAAATGGACGGCTTATATTAATTGGGCTAGAATGAAAACTTTCTATAGCATTTTTTTCAAAATTTTCTATTTTGTGATTGTTCTTCAGAATGAAAAGAGTATACATTTAAAAAAAATTGTCAAACAAAGGTCTCTAACATGATTTTTGAAGATGATTGTACTATACTACTATACAACCATTGCATGAAATCATTCCTCACCAAAGATAAATGATGGATCAGAGAAATTTCACAGTACGGAATGAGACCTCTGCACAACCATGGAGAAAAATATTACATATTTTGTAGGAAAATATGATTGTTAAGGATCAAACCCAATTCTAGTCAAGCAGCCGGAAAATCTAAAATTTCAAAAAAAGTGCTTTTATAATAGGAACCGCTGCACGGACGTCCATCTTAAAAAACTCCATATGGACGGTGCCAAAAAACTGGGCATATTTTAAATTTTAAAACTTGTAATTTTTTTCATATTCATGATCACATTGGCCTAGATCCCTAAAAATTTCAATAAAAAATCCATCTTGTATTTTAGAGAGGGCACGCTATGAAGATCTGACTTGACAGACTCGTAGAAAACTCATCCTTTATAATAAACAAATAACCAATCATTATCTAATGGGTAGTGACTTTATGCAACAGTTGTATAGTAATATATAGTAATATAATATACAAATCTTTAAAAACCATGTTAGGGCTTATCTAGGTAGTTTGAGAAATATATACATAAGTTGTGGGTCTTTCTAGTAGGACAATGGCAATATAATGTCAAGAAGAAATCGATTGAACTTGAGAATGTTTCAAAACATGGACAGCCCAGTGCCTAGGCGGCCCGCCCAGGGCCTATACCCGGCCCAAGGGCGGAAATGCGACTCGTTGAAGGTATGTATTGGTGTGGGGTGAAAAAACAGCTCGGTCTTTTTTTATCTTTTTTTAATACTAAAAAGGTAAAATTATGAGTTTTAAGTTCATTTGAAACCTAAAACCCATTAAAAACTATTTTAGAGAGAAAACCCAAAACAAAATGACCAGATTCTGGGCACCAAACCCATTAAAAACTATTCACCTAGACGCTAGACGGCTTGGACCTTCGACCGCCTAATTGCCGCCTAGCACTTTTTAAAACACCAAGTTACTCTAGAAGTTCATGAATGGCTAACATTCTAAGGAAGTGAGTTATCATATATGAGAGGCTCCCTCTTGCTCTACCCCTTCTAGTTCAGAAAAATTTGAAGTTTTTCGTAAAAGTTGGCAGTGAATTAAACAAAGTGCAACTCAACAATGAAATGGAAATCGTATGATCAAAGGCCATGTTTTGAGACAAAAAAATCTTAAAATTAGTATTCATTTTTCTCATCTACCAATTCAAGAGTGATAAAATTCCCGCTTGGCCTGCTGTGAAGATTGAGCCGGCAAGTCTTATTAAGTCACGGAAAATTTGTCAAAATATACTCAAGATATTAAGAAATTTGTCAAAATTGCATATATTTCTTTGACCAAGTTCAAAATTCAAAAGAAATATTTTCGAACACACCCAAATTATCAAATTTCATATCAGATGGCTACAAATAATTGTAACCTCCCTATACTAAAGGTAATTGGTCTCATTGTATACCATCTCATTAGCTATTTAACATTTTTAACCATCTGATTTGATTTAATCTCAAAATACCCATCAACAAACAAGACTTTGAGTTGGAATGGTAGAAAAAAGGTGGAATGTTACATTAGTTGCAAATTGCCGTATACTTGATAAATTTCCATAAGTCACAATGCCTAGTACTTGCATGTTGCTAGTTTTCTTGAGAAACTCATCACTAGATGTAGTTTGTCAGTGGATCATGCCACTAGCAATTTGTTTAAGAAATATATAATCATTAGCCTGGTACATAGATTGGGTATTGAAGATCATGATATAACCAAAAGGTGAACCAAATACAGGAAGAAACCAATCAGTGATAAACATCACTCCATAGGATTGGACTGATGGGTAGGCTACCCATCTTATTCGATCTCAAATATTTTCAAAGTCCCAATCGGAACTAATTGGACGGTTGACAACTCATTGAGCTCAAATCACAAAGCCAACAACATGATGGTGGTTGGTTGAAGCTTGTTTATGCATGAGCTCTGCAAATGTCCACCAGGATACTTTCTCTTTCCAATAAAAACTAAATAGATTGGCCGAAGTTTCCAATCAAGTAACGATAGTGCCCCTAAGCTTCTACACACATACATGTCTGCATGCATGTGTGAGTTATAGGCGTACTAAAAATAAATCACAAAGACAATAACATAAAAAGAAAAATTGGGGCCAAAATTTTTGAAGAGGGAGAGAAATCACAACTGCAACTATATCATAAACGAAATAAAAAACACCAACATTCTCCTTTTCACTTCCATATTACAGTAGATATCACATGTATATGGGCACACACATATCATCCATCAAAGTCATAAACACTCCACAGACAATGAGAGAGGAGAGAGAGAGAGAGACTCACATGCCTTTCATTGTATTATTCCCAAAGCTTGATGAAGGTGGTGCGGTCTCAGCCACACTGCCCTGCTGCTGCCCTTCCACCTTACTCCCTGAAGCTGCCCCACCATACACATTCTTCAACAAGTCCTGAATCTTACACAGCATCAACATCTGTTGTTGTTGTTGGTGCTGCTGCTGTTGTTGTTGAGCGCCACTCTCACTAACTGAATTGTTCATCAAAAGCCTCAAAGATGAAGATCCATTCTCTTGCAACCTCATCCTCTCCATAATATACCTCTTCTCTGCCTCTGCCTCTGTCAATCTCATCCTCAAATAACCCTCTGCACTCTCCTCCTCACGAGGCCCACGCTCCCCCTCCGATGATGGGCCCCGTATTGAAGCCGATGCTACTTGGCGGAGCCTCTCTGCTTCACGCCTTGCCTCCCCTGCCTTAACCCTAAACATGTCAGCCTCCGCTTGCTTAAGCCTCACTATAGCCTCGAGTTCCTCAACCTGTCGACGCTGGCGCTGTCGCTCGGAGCGTAGCTCGGAGGCCTCACGCTCCTTGTCGGCAAGCTCGCGCTCACACACCTCGACAGATGAGCGTGCACGCTTCAGCGCACGGCTCTTCTCCTCACCCACAGCTTCCATCTTGCGCACCGCCTCCCCCACCACCTCCGCAATGCGGCGGCATGCCTCCCCTGGGGCCATGGTGGGCCCCGTGCTGCCAGTGGCAGCAGCGGATACATCATCAGTGCCGTCTGAGGCTGCGCTGCCGCCAGGCTTCTTGGCTGACTCCATCTCGAGCTCTGTGAGGCCAGGAACGTGGTTAATTTTGAGAAGGCATGGGTGTTTTAATCGAAATATTTCTGAGACACAGATAGTTTTTTCTATTTGTTTACAACATGCAAAGTTCCTTTTTTTTTAGTCTTTTTTTTTATTATTGTTAAAGAGATGGTATCTGTCAGACTGCCACATGGCCATCCCATCCAAGCGATAAGTTCGGAGAGTACGATCCTCTATGAAGGGTGAAACGGTAGCATGACCACAGTCGACATTTACACTTTGGGCATGTGGCAATTTGTCAGTGTGGCAATTTGTCAATGTCCAGATTGATGTGCATATTGTCAATGGTGTGTCGTTCATCGTTAGTTTCCAAAAGGCATGGGTTCTTTAGCAGAAAATTTGCAAGAGGGTTAATCAGGCTACCTATGTTTATTATGATCTATCTGTAGATCTAATTCACCTAGATATTCAAGACTTTGATGTCATCCAGAGCATAGATTGATTGTTTACGCACCTTGCCACCATCGACTGTCATGAGAAGACGGTGACCTTTAAATGTCCTAATCAAATAGAATTAAACTTTGAGGGCATTAGAGACACTTCTCCTCTTCATATTATATCTGCCCTCCGAGCCTCTCACCTCCTGGATAAGAGATGTGTCGGGTATCTGTCCTATGTAGTAGAGAATAGGGGTGTTATGTCCCAGCTAAAAGGAATACTGGTCAAGATCTTCATCAGAACTCCAAAAGACCACCTGTGTTTCGCCGCATTCCGACATGTCTAAAGCAGTGAACGCAAGGAAAACGTTTTTGAAAAATTGGCCTCTTAACACCCTGAAATGGACCCTACAACTGGAACTACATTTTCAGTATCTCAAATCACTGTGGAACCACCGTCATTAGATCCGGCACAGTCGAAAACCCCTATGGATCAAGTTTTGGCTTAATCAGATACTCCAGAACAAAGATATGAGCCAAACATTGAAACAGGAGAGGACCGCACATTATTCCCGTGTGGCCTCACTCAAAACAGGGAAAATAATGGGTGGTGAAATTGAAGTTCAAGCAGGCTAGTACTGTCGCTCAGGTTTCAATAGTCACAATTAGAAACATTGTGTTGATAGCTGGAAAGTAAAAACTTATGTGTCAGACTAGTCCCTCTCTGAAAAATAGGACCAAGTTTTACATCTAAGACAAATACGCATCTCTTGGTGCTTTAAGTTTCTATTCATTCATTTGAAGCATTGACAAATTGGTCCTTAAATATGAAAGATAATTTTGAAACCAAGAGACATGGGAATTTCAATAGGTGACTAGAGAAAAACTTCAGCAATTTTTGCTATTTACCCAAGATAAGAAAATATTGGACCACAGTCTTTCTCGCCATTGCGCTACTATATGCATTCATTGGTGGATTCGAGAGGAAGGATGAGTTAATTTCTACAACCAAAAGACAAGGTATATGGAATAATGATTTTGGAGAATTTTAGTCCTTTTGAACTTTATTCAAACTGTGAATATTCCAAGAATAGTTCACATCCAAATGGCTACTGATTATTGACTATCTGTGATATAAGCAATTTTCGCCTGTATCTTGGGTTAGGAAGTCCAATCATTTCTGTAGTACTGGGTTTATTTTTCATTTAAATTTTTTTATATTAATCCTTCAAGAGGATCAAGGATTACTTTCAAAAGATGTGGGAAGTTTGGTCAATTCAGAAGTGTTCTTTTTTCATTTACATAAAATAAATGTATACAGTGATCCTTAAAAGATATGTGTAAACAGTGCATAAGAATTGTAATCGTTTCAGTGGTGTTTGGTATTTGTGCCATTTATTTGAGATCTGCATATCTTATTACCAACAAACCAAACATTATGTGTCTCCTTTCCGGGATGTGTTTTGGTTTCCCTTTACCATTATTCCTGGGAGAAGGTATTTTCTGTGTCGGTAGAAAAATGTACCATAATTGGAAAACATGCCAAAAGTTTAGTCACCAGTTCAGTGTTGAGCAACATTCACCCCATAATCAACCTCCAAGGCATCAAGACCATGAGTACTATAATGCAAGAGAATTTGTAGATTTTTGGCATACAGAAACCACAACAGCATGATATCTTAATACACAAGGAAAAAAAGACAAGTCAAATTAATGCAGACTATTCAATTAAATAAGCATGCCAAACACGTCTCCACAGGCAAGCACAGATGCACACACACATACAAAAGTTTCCAAGCCAGAAGGATAATCTAATGGTATTTTCGAATGCATAAATTGTTTAAGAAAGACAGAGATAGTCTGAAAGCTGCAACCAGTAGTACAAGAATGGCTTGACATGATAACAAGAAGCTGTATCTTTCAGGCTTGACAGACAACTACAGCACAACCATGGAAAACGGCCCTATTTTCTTGGACAACAGGTCATGTATGAATACTAATAGCCCTTGGCATCCCCTGGAAAAAAACCTCTTCCAATACAAGAGGAATTGAGGTTGAACAAAAATCATATGCATGGAATGGTGAAAATCCATACTTTGCCCCTAAGACTACGATTGAGGGAGGTGCTACCAGAAATTCACAAGTATGCATGCACTGTAAGGCAAACCCTCATGAAACGAAATCCTCCAAGGGAGCAATCATAACTACGTAAGACATCTTGCCAAACTTTACAAGTACCACAAGGAATTGGAAACACCTTCGTTACAAGAACCTCATACTGGGTTACTGCTCTCGCTCACAAGATCAATGACTACGCAAATCCAGACAATGAAACATCTTGTCCGTCCACTTCCCCACATCACCCCACTTCACCTTCCCCCCGCCTCCTCCCTAGATTATCTACAATCACAATATACACCTTACAACCAAAGTTTTAGAAATGGTGTCATGCCATTGCAACAGTCAATGGGTCAGTACCACCTTAAGGATGTTATAATGGGCACAGCTGCTGCCATCTTTAGATACCATTCACTACTTGGGGATATTTGATGTAACATCCAGTGGTCATGACCATGATAACAGCTGTTAACATGTTGAAAATCATGCTTTAAAAAACTTGCTTATAAATTTAAAGGTTATAATAGTAATAAAAATATAGAACAGGATGGATTCCCCTTTCACATAGTGTTCCGAAACAATACAACACCTTTGAAAGAGCGGCAGAGTGGTGTACACAACCCTTTTTCCCCCATTTTGTAACAATCAATAAGGACGAAAATGTATTGCAAGTTGCCTATCTAGGAAATATGGGCAATAAACATACTCTAATCAAACTAAATGATTGAAATGCAAACTAAAACTAAGTGTCACTTAAATAATGAAACACCTAAAAAACTAAATGGAAATAGTTCTCAGTGGCTAGACATCAAAGCAATTGCTCATTCATGAAAAATCATAACATACATCAAATTATTTTCCTTGACATCCGACAAAAAAGGATCTCAGTTTCAAGTACCCAATCAGGTTATTTTCACCACACCCCGACTACCGAACCACATGCATCACACTATCAGGAAGAATCAATGAATAATGCAGAACATTCTTTAAAGAAAATTAATTCTACAAAGATTTAATGGAATAAACTAATTTCAAGAGGAATCTCTGAATCATCATCAGAGCCTTTTCCCAACTATTTGGGGTTGGCTACATACTATATTGAAATTTAATGAAGCACATCTATGTCATCATAAGGCTGTTGGAAATCGGAAAAAACTACAGCATCACAAAATAATAGTATAGAATACAATTTGGGGGTTTTATCTTTCAGAAAAATAACAAGAGCCACTTTAGTCATACATTATTTAGAACCAATTGGGAATTTAACATATTAAATTAATTTATTTTTTCATAATGAAATAACTTTGATTTCAGAATAATTACATACAAATTTAAAATAAAATAATTTATTGCCATATATTCAGATGTCAAAACTTACTTGTTAAAGCAGAAACCATAGTAGCAATATGGCCCTTAAGATTTCGTTTACTAGTAGACATCCTGTTTGCATAAGGAAGATCAAGGTCTCAAACCATGAAGATAGTCCTAAATGGAAACCATGCAAAGGCAAAACCAGTTTACCCATTCTTTCATTAAGCTTATATAGCAGTATTCTTCTTCTATCCCATTATTCGTGTATGTCTTTACAGCACAAGTTGCTCCTAATTTTCTATTTTTGGGTAACTTTCAAATTTTAAATAAAAGAAGATAAATCTCTTTCAAATTTCCTGTCACTATTTATATAGGAATCTTTGCAAAATTACTATTTCTGTAAAGCTTAAAATTTGCAGTTCTGATTTTGCACAGAAAGGCAAGTAATTTAATATTTGTGAGAGGCTTTAAATTTGCCGTTACTATCTACGCAAAAGCTTTATATGGCCAGCCAAATTACGTTTTTCCCAAAAGGGTATCATCTAACTATGGGCAGTAAATGGGTTGGGTCACCTTGCCAACCTAATGGGTCAATCCAACCTGGGTTTAGGATTGGACCTAGCTATTGGACCCAACGGGCCGGATCAATGTCCAAGTCCAACCTAAACCACTTCACGTCAAGTCGAGTGGCTAGGGTCAATTTGACTCAAGCTGACACAATATATGTACATATCATCATCATTCGAGCCTTATCATTATCATTCGAGTCGCTACAGTATATGCACATAATTAAAAAATTATATATAAGTAAGGGAACTTAGGTGTAGCTCCAATAGGCGATAAAATTGACGAAAAGTAGACTTAAATAGTTTGTTCATGAGAAGCATTGACCTAGAACAACACCGGCTAGGAGTGGTGATTTAGTTCAAGCGGAAGCCTCTAAAAGAGCAAGGGGAAGGCTCCAAAGGACATGGATAGAAATAATGAGAATAGATATGGTGACTTATGGTCTGATTAAGGGTATAGCCCTTGATAGAGTGGAATGGCAAAACATGATTTGTGTAACTGATCCCAAATATTTGGAATAAGGCTTGGACGACGATGATGATAATTATGTATGATATAAATATATATATTTTTTAATATTGTAGACACTTGATTTTAAAATTGGGAAAATCCATGATTTTTCTAACCTTAAGCAACCCTTAGGACCATACTATTCTATAAATTCCCTGAACTATAGAACACTAGTCCATGGTCCCCATCCAATAATCCTGCAGACTCACTAATTTTGGAAATAATTAAGCAAAAATAACAAAACATCTTCTTTCGACTTGATTTTTGGAAGGTAATCACTCACAAGCGCGTCAAACAGCATAGAAGTGAAAATTTTTATTTGGGCCTGATTTGGGTCTGTGGGGTGACACACCTTGTGTCGCCTAGTCTAGGTTGGTCAAAATCAATTTTTTTTCAATTCCCAGCCTTATCCGAAACAGATTCAATTCCAGTCAAATTTGGGCAGATCCAGTGCATCTGGGTTGGACAAAACAGCCCGGGTTTGGTCTGAGCGACACGGCACAAATCCATTCGTTTTTTGTAATTATCCATTCTACACGCTTTTCAATCTATAAAAACACATTTTTGTGCCTCTTTTAAGCTTAGAACATGTGTGCCAAGAACATTAGAGAGTCAGAAGAAGAGCAAAACCCTAGATTCAGGTAAAACCCTAGTAAAACCCTAAGCCATAAATCACCTTCTAGAAAACCTTAGTTCAACCAAGCCAAGGATTGGTCAAATATAAAGAGAGACATGAAGGACTCACAATGTAAACACAGTCGCGGTCCTGATACGATCAAGGCCTCGAAGCCAAGTGACCTTTCTTCTGCATTTTCAGCTGTTTTGTTTATTTTATTAGATTTAGAACCATTTCATTGCTTTTTTTCAGTATTTCATATTAATGTCAGCCCTGCCGCTGATCAGAGAGCCGATTTGTTCATTTCTGATTAGATCTGCCCTTAGATCGAAGTTCGATCGATCCCACTCTCCATCCAAATTTAAAAAATGAGTCTATAGTGTTAAGATCTGAGGGATCTTCAGTTGAAGATCTCTCTGATTTTACGCTGTAAACAAATATATGGACCGATTTTGGGTCCAATTGACATGGACCCAACCCAAGTCCGGGGAGGTTCTCCCCTAGACAATCTGGGTCGGGTTTGGTCCCGACCAATTTACAACCCTACATCGAACATCTAAAAATTTGACACAAGTGAAAAACATGTCGCCACTGTTTTTAGAATCAAGTACAAGCAATAGATACAGACATGTCAGCTAGTACCATTGATCCAAGAGTAAACATGCAAAATACTGAAAGGTATCCAAGACAAGTCTAACTCTTATTGAAGTCAACATGCCATTGAGATATTTTTTTTTTAAGTCAACATGCCATTGAGATTTTTTTTTTTTAAGTCAACATGCCATTTGAGTCAACATGCCATTGAGATTTTGCCAAAATAATTTAAGGAAACTCTTGCTTGAACATTATTAAGTTGTTGAATTGGGAGACAACAACTCATTTTTCCTAGGAAAAAGCGACGCATCCATTGAATTTTCCATTGTAGCCACCAAGCATGATAATTGTTTAGCTCGCATTACCTGCTAAAGAGATTTGTTCTCCATGCAGTGTTACCACTTTATTTGAGATGAAAATTCGAGGATGTGCTGCTCCTCTGCTGGTGCTCATAGTTTTGAAATTACAACATCCAAATACTTAATGAGAAGCATAAAATGACACCATATTAAATTATCCCAACTTTGACCATAAGAGGGCCCAGGATAACCACCCAATGGAACTCATCTAAATCACTTAACAATGGATATAAGCCTAACCCAGTCCTCAAACTACAACTCATTAATGGGAAGGGGAAGCTGATCCACCAAACATGACCCTCAACTAGAAAGGTTCCCATAAATGCATCTTTTAAGACAGTTGATGCCCTCTTGATGATTGATGCCTCAAAAACTGATGTAAAGAAATTTGAGGAAGCAGTAAAACCAGCAAGGAACAAAGTTAAACACAAGCATAATTCAAAAAAATCTAGGGTTTCTTCCCCATACCGCAAGTCAGGATTTCAAAAGCCTAAGCTTTTCTCTCTTTCAATTTCTAAAAATCATGTGGAATGACCCCCTCAAAGCCTCACACACCTCTTATATATTATAACTTAATATTCCAAGTACAAAAAATGTCAAAATAAATAATATATTAACCCATATATCCTAACTTAAACTTAAATTTTCTAATGACAGTTTTACCTCTGTGAACAGTACCCGTAAATAGTACCCATGAACAATAACTATGAATATAAACCAGTGAATAGCAAATAATAAATATAAAAAAAATCCTAGAATTCCTAAAATGATAAAAACCCCTAGAAATAAACCCTAAAACTAAAACTAAAACTATAATACACGTCCTTTGAAATTGAATAAAAACTAAAAATAAGAATAATTTTATCCTCAATCAAAAACTATGGCCGTCACTCACTTCTCACCTAAATAAACATCCCTCTAAATAATGTGCGACCTATATTTCACCAAGAGAGCCTCATAGACCTTAAACAAGCACACCAAGAGCCCCTCAGACACAGCATTCCAGCCACATAAATTATCAGCATTTCTCAAAATTTAAATGGGTTCCAAAAGGATGTTCTCGTTAGGAACATAGTTCATAAATTACAGCAGCATCTTGATAAATAAACATAAGCGTCCAACTCCATGAGCAAGTTCCCAATATCACCTCCAGTATATGAGCTTCTAATAGCCTATTGAAACAAGAGAACTGCTAAATGTTGATTTAATCATATATTCATTTTAGTTCTGTAACCCAATTGTATTTTATAGGCCAAGAGTGACACCTATTACTGGATCCTAAAGAAACTCTTCAGCCCATTCAACACCAGATGAATTATACTGAATAAAACATTGCCATTAGATCTATGTTGGAAATGCCCATCACATCCACTCACTCATAAAATCATGCAAATAAGTACAACTATGTAGAGTATGACAACTAGGGATAACAGAGGATAGAGAAAACAATCAATCACAAGGCACAAGGCCATACAGCACATCGATAATCTCAAAACTTAACGGCTTACATGGTCAGCAGATCCACAAAGAGCAGGCTAGGGTCGAGGTTACTAGAAAATAGTTAGAACTAGGAGCCCAGCCTCTCCAAGAGGAGCCAGACAGAAAAAGTGCATAAAGTTAATTAATAAGAATGATCATTCTCAAGGAATAATAGAATGCAAACTTGCATAAAATGGCAGGTGTCTAAAATAACCAAGCACATAACAATTAAACCACAATATGGCCCACATAAGCCACTTATCAAGTGGAATTTCTCCCACTTGATCAAGAACACATCAGCTATACTTCCAACATGGCCTATGCCAATAAGAGTCTCATACCAAGACGCAAAAGATCCCAGAAATAGAAAATACAATTGAGTTCATATTTGGAGATACTCGATGACAGACAACAAAGATTGACAAATTTTTTGCATTTAATATGTTTTGACGGATACAATATAGAAACTAATAGGTCATAACCCTCTTTAAGGTTTCCCTACTTTTACAAGTAAATAAGAATATTAGATGCCAGAATGTTGCGACTATAAAATATAACATCTCCAATCAACACGAAAATACCACTGCAAAGCTCATGAAGACCCTGAAACATAAGATATCACCACCTTTACAAGACTATTAAAAGTTATAACACATCATTCAAAAGTATTATAAGGGAAATGAAGGCATACCTTGGAAAAAGAGCAACAAAGATTTGCAAGATGTGGACTCAACAATCCCATTCTTCATCCTGTCCAACAGATCTTGACACTTCCAATACAGCTTCCTGCCTCTCGGGTCCTCGCTTCCACGAAAGATTCGAGCCACAAAATCAAGCTCCCTCATAAGTGCATCCCTATCCCAACCAGGAGCACAGTGTTGGAAAACATCCTTGACCCACCCAAGCAATTCGGAGGTCCTATTGCAAGCTTGGCACCTAAAGAGCATTTCTGAGCCCCCCGTTCCATTCTTTAGACCGGGGCCTGTACTTATTAGCCCAAAACGAATAGCACAATCAGTGTGGGTCCAATGCGCACAGACATCACACCCTATCCATCGACATGTATTCACATCGAAATCAAACTTGCTACAAATGGTGCACATGCAAAGATTGCAATACCCATTTCTAGACCTGCAAATTTCACAGCTACAATCATCGGCCGGTAGTGCATTTTGGCAAGCTATATTTCTACACCTCTTGAAAGAGAAAATCTCTATGAGGCAGAGTTGGGAGAGGCTAACATTGGGGTGTAGAAATGCTTGAATGCCTGTGTTTATAGCAACAAGGATTTCAAGCTGGACCCGATGGGCTCTAACCAATGAATTTGCGGTTAAATCAGTCCGGCCATGGACAAGCTTCTGCAAAATCATGATGTCTTCTCGATTTTGGGGTCCCCCAGTTCCTTCGAGAATGGTTCTGAGTTCTGTTTTTAGGGATTCCAAGAGTTCTTCAGACTGTGAATTCATCCTCTCTGCAATTATTTCAATCTTCTCTCTAACTACATCAAGAAGGGTGATCTTGTCTGAGCTCGAAACCCTTCGAATAACCGCAGGTTCATTGTTCTCTTCTTCTATGACCTTCTCTTTATCCAATGCCTTCTTTCCATGCTCACCTGAATTCTCCATAGTTCCCTCACCCCTGTTGTTCTCATCAGGCCAAGTTTCATGAGAGCTCGCACTCTCTGATGGTGATTCCCTTATATGTTCAGTATTAGAAGCTGGTTCATGGTTATCAGCTGACCCACCACAAGCATCAGAAGAAACAAGAGACAGAGAGGTTTGAAGACCATTACCTCGAGATTGCTGGCGAGGAGGAGGCATTGGCGGTTGTTGTTGATGAAAGCTTGCATTAGAAGAAGTACCCATTACAGAATTCAGTTGAATGAGACCAATGGAACTCTTCCAATAACAACTTCTCAGTAAACAAGGAAGATTTGAGTACAATGGTTCATAGATATCAAGGCAATTTGGGGGTGAAAAGAGCATGGGCCACTGAATTTTTTTCTGATTTTGGGCATCCTGGATTCACAAGCCATGAAGCGCCAGTGTATTTAGAAGTGCTTAGACCATTCATATGAGTTACCAAGAGAGAAGACAGAGAACAAGTCGTGTTGTGTATTGGACACTCAAGAACCGAAGATCCATTTAATAAGAGCACCACAACCCATGATCCACATATTCATAACTCAATAACTGACAATTGTTTGGGTAAAGCATTAAGATTTTGAGGCTCGCTAACTGATCTGCCATGAAAAAATTACAGTACAAATGCATGATCAGGACAATCCAAATAAAAGACCTAAAACAAAGAACACATCGATTAAACAAAGCTCATTATTAGCCGGAATTGAAGACTAAAATGGTAAAAATCTGATTAAAAGCAGAAAAATTAACAAACAAATCTCTTAACAACACAGAAAAAGTAAATGAAGAACTCCAATAAATAAGATTATCACATTAAAAATAACTACACAAACAAAGCACAATGGAATGAGAAAAATAGATAAAAAAAGAAAAAAAAAGAGTAAACAGAGAATCATTTGTAATTTCAAAAGTAAAACTAAAATAAATAAAAATCAGATATTCATAAAATCAAAAATCATGGAAAACATACAAATAATGAAAAACCCATTATATACAATGAATTTTCAATGCAATCAGAGAGCACGACTTACCCGAAACAGAGCCAATCAATCGTCAAAAAAAGGGAAAATTAGTAAGATAGGGATTTAATTAAATGGAGAGCATACAATTCAGTCCCCCTTCTTCTCCGATTAAACCTAATAATAAAGGGAAAAAACAGGAGGTACAGTTGTTTTCGCCCCAAACTAGAGCAGACGAAACAACCAAGAAGAGAGAGAGAAAGAGAGACTTTCTCTCTCTTAAACTACTTCGAGCCAGAGTGAGGGTTTACCGGCTAAGACTTGTCGAGAAACCGGAATGGCCGGGCAACACGCCGTCGATGACGTGGCATATGTGTGAGCGCCCCAATTCGAGGATTGTCAGTAAACGCACGGTAAAGATTAATGAAACGTATGTCAACCGGGGTGTAGACCGCTGTGCTGGCGCATGTTGACCATGGTTAAACGTTTGGTGTGGGGAACGCGATTGTTGTCTAGATTTTAGGGTTTATAGAAGAAAAAAGTTTACATAAGGTTGCAACCTTATACTGTGGAGGAAATGTGCATCTCAAATATCCTACCGTGGAGAATGCTCCCTCCAACCGTTCATCTCGACATTGAGATAAATGGATAAGAAAAAAAAAAATTTATTTCAAGTTCAAAAAATAAGCGTACCTTGTAAAAAAGTTATCTAAACAGTATGTTTTTAATATTTTTTAAGTATTTATTAATCTACTCAATCCATATCATTTTTAAAATTTAAAATTTTTTAACTGAAGATAAAAAACGATTTTAAAGCCATCATAAGATTTTTCACCCCAAAATGATATCTCTAAGTAAATTTCATGGTGCAATTGACTTTTACAGAATAAGGAGGCAACCTTATACAAACCTCATCCTTTATAGAATGGGTGAGATTTTTATAGGGCGTAGACCTTATACTATTGAATTAAGGTTGTACCTCAAAACTATGCCGAAAATACAGTTTTAGTTTTACAAAGCCTTGCAATGATATAAAAATTTATTGTTTCTCTCAATTATTAAATTTAAAGTTACAAAAATGGTAACCGTCAAGCATAACTATAAACACTTAGAAAATCTTGAAAATTGACGGTCTAGATAATGAGGTAGAAGATGAACTATTTTTAAGATTATAAATCACCTTTTTTTCCAAGGCTGTAAATCTCGAGGTTGAGATGACCTATTTAATGGTTTTCCAACATATAAACAACCTTCTCTAATGGATTTTTTACATGCACTTTACTCGTATAGTATAAGGTTGACAACTTGTACAAAGGTGAGGTTTGTATAAGGTGTGAACCTTATACTAATGAATTAAAGTGTAACTCTATGAGGAAAATGCAATTTTGGTGCCGCAAAGCCAGCAATGATATAAGAATCGATTGTTTACCTTAATTATGAAATTTAAAGTTACAAAATGGTAATGATTAAGCAGATCTATAAACACTTGAAAATGGACAGTCCAGACAATTTGGTAGAAGATGAACTATTTTTAATACTATAAATCCCTTTTCTTTTCATGTCTATGAATCTCGAGATCTAGATGACACGTTTGATGGTTTTCTAGCATATAAACAACATTCTCTTGTGGGTTTTTTAGGTGCACTTTACTTGTAGAGTATAAGGTTGAGACCTTGTATAAAGGTGAGGATAGCAAAAGATGTCAACCTTATATTATTGAATTAAAGTGTACCTCAAAACTATGCCGAAAATACAATTCTGGTGCCACAAGCTGTCACACCCCAAAAATTTACAATACTGATATTCCTGAGATGTGACAGTCTAAACATATATACATTTATTGATAGGACAAATTTACAGAGGCGAATTCTTACAAAGTAACAAAAGAAAGTTTAAGCACGACTACAATATCTTCCAAAGTTGATCCTGGCGAGCACTCAAAATGAAACCGCAGTTATCCTGAAAAAAATGTTTACCATAGTTTGATGAGTTTGGCTACTTAGTAAGTGATCATCATAATCCTAAAAATAATCATGATTGAAAGATATCAATATTTTCAAAAAGAATATCTATTAACAGGAATGCATTAACAGTTTCACTTTCAAAAATGCATAATTAAGTATAATCTGAATAATTGAAATGCATATCACATTTTAACATCAATGCATAATTCAAAAGATTTCACAAAATACCCTACTGACGTCTCAAGTAGGTCACCCATATACCCCATCAACGTCCTGATGGGTCCACTTAATCCCTATTGGCATCCCAGATAGGTCAACTTAATCCCTGCAAGTCCACTTATACCTCACTGGCATACCGGATGAGTCCACTTAATCCTAACCGGCGTCCCAGATAGGTCCACTTATATCTCACCGGCGAACCGGATGAGTCCACTTGCATACTTAAAGTATTTCTAAATCTCCTTAAACATTCGAAAGCAGCAATATCATGTAATCAACATATCACTGAAATTATTAATATGAATTTCACTGAAACCATTAATAACAGTCACTTTCAATAACATTTCAAAAATACCCAATCAAATATTTTGGGCTCAAATTCAAAAGGTAGCAGTTCGTAAAGACATTCTAGCATAATTGTCAATCTAATATGTATAAAAAAACTCTTATAGAAATTCAAGAATACGGAATCATCACAATTTATGGGATGTCAATTCGCAAATAAATATTTCATTGACAATGCTACAATCAATTGCAAAAACATCAGTTTTCAAATAATAAGGCAGTCATTTGCACATGAAATTTACAATTTCTAAATATGCAAAAATAGTAGAAAGAAATCTCACAATTTTACTAACAATAGAAATATCACATTTATTTCTAATAATTTTACAGTATTTAAAATTTTCTAACAATAGACAAGAAAAATAAATAAATTTATTTCTAAAAATTTACAACATTTAAAATTTCTAACATAGATAAAATATCACAATTTTTATTAAAAAGATTATTTTTCAAATTAATGAGGTCGCTTGCGCATAAAATTTATCGCGCCTAAAATTCATGATAATAAGCAGAAGTAATTATTTCATTTCATGTTTTAAAAGAACGGATTATTTTTCAAGATAATAAAGTCACTTACCTAAAATATTTGAGAAGAAGCTTCAAAAAAAAATTCGGCTAAAGAGAGAAAGAGCTCACTGCGTTTCTACTAGAGAGAGATATCTCAAAATTTTCTAGGGTGGGAGTCCTCACTTCTCCTATTTAAATTCTTACGACACCTTATTATATTCTTTTATTAAGTTACATCTCACACATGAGGTGTAACAGTTATATTACATCTTAAACGCTTAAAGCCCACGTCCACTAAAGGACGTGGCAAGAGCAAAAGCTTAAACCAGGTAAAAGGTTTTGAAAATAGTGATGGTCCCTAAGGACCATCATGTTCATACGAACCATCACTTATTTAAAAGTTTGTTTTCTTTTTCTGTTTTTTCTATTTTTTTTATTTTTGAATTTTTAGGATTATTACATTTTTCCCCCTTTAAAGAAATTTAGTCCTCTAAATTTGTGTACCTGATTACTGAAAAAGATAGGGATATTTTTCTTTGATATCGT